CTGCTGAACTTTTTCTTTTTTTTTCAAATTTTGAATGCATTTTGTTAGAATTTAAATTTAGTTGTTGTTTGTTGGATTTTATTCAGGGTTAGTTGGAGTAAAATGTGGAGGAATACAAATGCACACCACATCTTCCAGATTTTATTTCCAGAACGTTTTCATCAGACTAATCTGTATTAGCTCTGCGTAGGAGCCTGTGAGCACTTCTCTTTTCAGGACGCTTTAGTTAAGGTCATAAATTATCGACAGGAACACATTGAAGTCGTTCACGTGTTTTTGTTTTTTCATTTTGTTGCTTTTTTTTGGTTTTTAATGTTCTCTCGTCTATCAGTCGGGAGAACAGGGGGCGGGGAGCCGATGTCGAGCTCGATCAGGGAGCTTCTTGGAGTCGGTGCAGCCTAATTGTTCTGCAGCGGTGGCAGAAACACAATGTTCCAGCTCAGAGGAGAGCCGTGTGTGTGTATGTGCTCGCGCGCGTGTGTGTGTGTCGCCAGGGCCCCAGTGCTCCGGCTTTGTACATCTGCCAGGATGTGGCGCTCGCCCCCCGCAGTGGAACGGTGACCTGCACAGAGCGGTGACCCCGGTCCTCACCGGCAGCTTTGCAAACACAGTCGGCTTCACTTCCAGCCTGTCTCACAGCATCGCTCTGCAGATCTGTGGAGGAACAGCTGGTCCAAGAAAGTTTCTGTCTGTTTGGAGACGGTTTCACTTTGTCTACAGAAGTTTATAAATCGGTTGTTGATGCAGCTATCAGTTGCTGGATAGATTTAAAAGTTCTGTGAGAGATTGTTTCCACTTTGCCTGATTGTTTGAATGAATTTTTAAAGCTAGTGCAGAGACTGTTGTTTTCAGTGAAATAAATAAATGGGCGAATCTCATCTTTGCGGTGACATAATGCAAAACGTTCAGCAGCCAGAACGGTGCAGCTGTTGGCTTCTTTTTTCACTCCTTGACTCAAACATAAAATGTTCGACTAGAATATCTCTCATAACACTGAAGAGAATACGTAGCTTAATGTTCTCTCTCTATTGAAATAATCGACAACAAATTTGACTTTTTAATCTTCAGCATAATCCCTTTTTCTCCACCCTTCTCCCCCAAACTGTAGCGGTGAGAACAGGTTGCTGACCTTTGACCCCTGTTCTTCCAGACGGGCTCCCTGCAGGTCCTGTCCCAGCAGATGCTGGTGGACTGCTCCTGGGGCTTCGGCAACAACGGCTGCGACGGTGGGGAGGAGTGGCGGGCATACGAGTGGATCATGAAACACGGAGGCATCGCCACCACGGAAACCTACGGCGCCTACATGGGAATGGTGAGACGAATTTCATCACAACTTGGAGGTTTTTAACAGCTGCAGAGGTGTTTCATATCGCTGAAAAACCTCAAACCCGTTCAGAGGTGTTAAAGGAAATAAAACTGATGACTCATTTTCCACTCTGAGGTCAGCAACATTTTTTTTCTTCTTCCAAAGTCAGCCTCATTTCTTTTTTCCCCCTCCCTGAACAGAACGGATTCTGCCATCTGAACTCGTCGCAGCTCACCGCCCACGTCAAAAGCTACACCAACGTGACGTCGGGCGACGCGGACGCCCTCAGGTTGGCCCTCTTTAAGAATGGCCCGGCCGCCGTCAGCATCGACGCCTCACACCGATCGTTCGTCTTTTACAGCCACGGCGTTTACTACGAACCGGCTTGTGGTGAGCTTTACGTCTCTCCGGATGTTCCGGACATTTCTGCTCCCGTCTGCAAACTAACATTCCATTCCGTTATCGATTCAGGGAACACCGTAGACGATTTGGACCATGCCGTGCTTGCGGTGGGATACGGCACGTTGAACGGAGAGCCGTACTGGCTGGTTAAGAACTCTTGGTCCACGTACTGGGGCAACGACGGCTACATCCTGATGTCTACGAAGGACAACAACTGCGGAGTCACTACAGACGCTACATACATCACTCTGGCCTAGATAATTCCTGTTTGTTGTTGATGTTTACACTGTTGTCAGTGCCTGGGTCTAAATGACACTTTGTTTGGTGTGAGCCTCTAAGCAGCCTGAAAATATTTAGGGGAGCATCGGTACACTTTTTTAATTTCCAATCACAATATCTGAGGTTTGGTATTGTCCGATACAAAAAAAAACAGTGCTGAATTAACGTTGAACTTCCTCGTTTTTAAACACAGACTGAAGTACTGAAAGTCTTGGTTGAACATGTGTCAATTAAACTTCAGCAAACTTTCATTCGACCTGTTCAGGAAGTTCAATTAGGAATTCTAGAGTATGACATCACTCAAGGCATAGAGCTATATTGAATAGATCTGTCGTTGAGGATCAAGCACGTTGCCATCGACTCATGATCTAGAATTTTATTTCAATATTGATACAGATAACAATATTGTATCGGTGCGTCTCTAAAAGTATTGTTTTGCAAAAGTTGCACAAATTTTTTTTATTTTTTATTTTTTTTGATTGTTTCAAACAAGTTTATTGCTGGAGGCACCAAGGCACTATGCCTTCATTTCAGTTATACAAAATACATTTCATGACACATTTCCACTTGATCGTTACACATTTGACAAAATCATGACAATAAAAACGCTGAAAGTTATCTGCTTGCAGTGACATCTCTGCTTCATCTTGGGCTCTAAGAAATGCTTTCTTCACTTCATTCAGATGAATGTCAAAACTTTCCACATTCACTATGCCTGCAGAAGTATTACCACAAACATTTGGTAAAAATCACAAACTTGAAAATATCGAAAATGGATTTTATGAAATAGAGCAGGGGTCTGCAACCTTTGCAACCCAAAAAGCCGTTCTTACCGGCAGTTCACCTAAATAAAACTTTAGAGCCACAAATCTTACATGACATTTTAGAAACAAATTGAACTTATAATTTCTGAGACTTATCCACCATACAGCCACAATTTAACTTGTTTTTAAGTTTTGAAATAAAGAAAACCAAAAATCTTAAACTAAAATAAAAATTTTTTGTAGAATCTACAAAAAAAATACTTTCAATTTTCATTCTTTAGTGGAAATTCAATGTAATTATTCCATGAGATGATTACATTGTCCTTGAGCTATTACACATCCATTTCTTGTTTCTTAAAAGATTTTTTGATTTATCATAACTACAAATTCCCATTAGTTATATATATATATGTGTGTCAGTAGAGAAATTTGTTGCTTAAATAAAAGCCAAAATAAGTTGTGAAAATTATATTTTCACTGCCATTGGTATTACTATAAACGTCACAAAATATTGTGATGACATTTTAAGCCATACTGCGCCACCCTAATGTTTATATTTAAAAGGGTTATGTGGTTTTTTATCTTTTTATCCAAAGTTATTGTGGAAGTTTCTAAAGAGCCGTGGGTTGCAGACCCCTGTAACAAACCAACACGCTTTCACTTTGTAATTATCTTCTACGTTGTGTTGTTCTATCACAGAAAATCCCAGTAACATCCACTAGAATTTGTGGTCGTGTTTTAAGAAAATATAAAGAACATCAAGCTATACAATAATATCTATATAAACTTTTTTGTTTAGCTGTAGACAATGATTGTTTTAAAAATATTTTGCAGCAGAAATCTGCAGTAACTTGATGGCTACACTTTTTCTCAACCATTTCTCCTATAAATGCAACTACAACCCTTAAACCTAGACCATAGAGCTCAACAGAATATAGATTGATTCTCATGTGATTACGTTTCATCCAAAACAGCATATGTCTACGAACAATACTTGTAAGTGAAGCACCTTGATTCGTGCTGATCTGATACATCCCATGATTTCAATACAAAACCAAGTCTATAAAAGTTATACAAAGGTTACACAGAACATTACAAAAGGAACTAGTGCATGCAAATTAATCTCGGCTGCAGCTACTTGGAAAAACAGCATTAAAATACAACAATCATGCTTCACATTGCAGCTCAGGAGACATGACACACTTTGGAAAAAGTGTTTTGTATGAAATGTAAAAATGCTTAAGAACCCTGTCCAGGATTTACAGTCATTTCAGTTCAGTGAAGTTTAAATGTATCAGATTTAAACAAACTGAAAGATGGGAAGATGGAAACTCATATGAACGACATATGGTAAAGACAGACAGCAATGCGTAGCAAAGCTGAAGCAGACCTTGGAAAGCAAGTTGAAGGAGTTAGAGGTGCCACAGGACTCAACACCTTTATATTGAGTGCACTGCTCTAAGCATGAGAGATATTGAAATATTCCAATGTTAAAAGTAGAGATGTGTGATATATCGGCATTAACATAAGTATTGGCCGACGACAGTCATTTTTTATCGTATCGTTTCAATAAGTGAAACTATGGCGATGTTAGCTAATGTTCATTTCTGTTTTAATGCTATTTATGTTTCATTACTGGCAGGTTATGTTTGGTCATGTCATGAAGCAAAGGAGTGTGGGGAGTTTAGCTTAAGCGGAGAAGCAACGTCAACATGATAGTCATTTTACAATGACTGTCTGAGGTCAGGCATGAAAACATTTAAAACCTCTGTAGCCATCAACCCTAACACCTATTTTTCTTTACCCAAGCATTGCCATTTTGTATGCTAAAAATCACTGCATATTAATTTAGTTCACTTGTTAATTTAGTATTTTTTATTAATTATTCAGGTAATTACAAGATCCAAAAATATTTTTAGGGACAGTTTATCTTAAGGTAGAGTGTGATCCCCCCATCAAACCAAAAAAGAACTCTAAGTTGATCTGTTCAAATTTATTATTTTTATGATTCATAGATGTCAATTCAGTTCAGAAATACTTTGATTCCAAAAGCTCCTTTTCATACACATACAATGGTATGAAATGCCACACCTTCAAATGTGCAGAATCGCATCGATAAAGAAGCAGGATTTCTGGAAGAGTCTAATTTGAACAGGAGAGAGCAAACTAGTTAATGAAACTGCGTCACGCAACTTGACAACAATCGAAAGCGATGCACCAAACCGGGCAAGCGATGCACCAAACCGGGCAATGTTCACAAAATGGATGTCTGCAATCTTCAGTGAACTGAAGTAAATTGATCCATTGAAGAAAAGAAATCTTCGTAGAATCAGAAGTGCTGGAATATTATAAGTGTAAAGCATATAAATAAGTAATGACAACTGTTAAAAATGTTGTTCATCTGAGGTTGTACTTTGCAAATTGCTGAACCGCTTAACTCGATATCCTTATACATAAAACCCTAGAGCTGAAAGGTACTTCTGCTTAACCATGAGACTCTACAGAGTTTTTCAGGCCTGTAAGCTGCATTAGTGTTGGACTGGCAGTTTTAAATAGACATTTATAAAGGTATACAAATATGCAAAAATTGTCTGCAAACTCCTAAGGTGAGTTATTTCCTACTTACTTGCATCTATAGGGCGCTCTAAATGAATTCGCTTTGTGAAACTGGGTTAAAGGTACAAACTGGACGACGGATATACGGAAGTCTAAACTGCAACTATTCCTGACTGTAGGTTCTCACCTGCGTCTGCTTAAACAGTGAGGTTTTCATTGGCCTTGGCAGGAGCGCTGAATGCCTTCTTTGTGTGTGTTTGTGTGAACACCTTGTGCTGATTTGGTGCGTGGAACATGACTGGCTTTCTTGGATAGAGCTCATAATCACATCAAGACTTGCAGTTGCATAGAAGATGATTGAGTGTGTTAGATACCGGAGCTTTGAGGCACTGCAACGTTTGCTTGACAGAATCGGCTTGTCTCTGTTACACACACTGGAGTTCTGGCTCGCTAGATCTTGCAGCTGCTCTCTGCTGGATCGAAGTCTTTGTGTGGCTCTAGGATTTCCAAAATGGGAGCCATTCTGCCAGAGATAAAAATACAAATGTAAAGATTTCTCACAGTACCTTGAATCATATGAATTGAACTTTTATAAGGATTTTATTTGATATATCTAACCAAAGTCAGCCTGGTAAAAACACAGAAAAAGAAGGCAAGAAATGAATTGTGCAATTTATTTATGTCAAGGTCAGTTTTATTAACATAATTTTTTAAAGTAATTTAATTTTTATACTTCTGTTTTTTAACTACTTATTACATATTATTTCAGTTACCAAAACGGATTTTGTTTTAAATGTAATGGTCAGGTATCAACAGTTAGCCCGCCCTACTCATAAACCTCGATGAAAAATCACTTCATTATGAAAGCAATGCGATTTATGTCGATGCTCTTATTTTGAAATGTGACCGGACGTAACAGGCGGGAGGAGACCGGCTAACACAAGTCTGCCTGCCGTTAGATTAAATGCTTCTCATCCCCTGGGTTACGACGGCAAGCTTGTGAAGTTTAAAAAATAAGTGAAAGTCCGATACCAGAGAAGTAAGTAAGCGACATTAAAATAGAAAAAAATACAGTGGCTTTTTCCTTATTTTAATTTCCTTCCAGAAATTAAAATAAGGGACGCCCACCGCGGCTCGTGTCGCGCTTCTCTCATGGAGTGGAATGGCCGCTCGAGTGACGGACGTTATTTTACGGCAGTGTTTCTTGTGCGGCGGTCGGGGTTTATCAGCCCCCGCTTGGCATAACACCCCCTGCTGGCATACTGTTTTGCCTGTGAGTAGTCCATTTCGCACACAGCAGGGTACGAACAAATATGTCCGCCTCGTACCCGCGACCACGGAGAATTGTGTATTGACCAAGGAGTTCAACGATGGGGGCGAGGAAGAGTTGGGGCCCGAGGACACCAGCGAAGATGAGGGCAGCGACAGAGGGTCGCAGCAGGACTCCTCATCACGATGATAATCATAATAATCGTGTGTGTGTTTCAAGTGTTTTCCGGGTTACTGGGTCAAATACTCCTAAAAGAAAGATCAACTCTTTTGATTTACAACTAACTTTTTTAGTTACCGTATTTTCCAGACTATAAGCTGCATTTCCCTTCAGTGGGAAAAAGCCAAGATCACGATTAGAATCGAGCAAAATTGCGTTGGAAGGCAATGGCTAGGCTAACGCGCAGCAGTGCAACAGTTTTTATTTACAGGGACTAGCTCTTTATTTAGCCGCTGTACCTGATGTCCCAGTTCTCTACGTCCTCCAGCGTGTCTGGCAGAGGTCGGTCAGCAGTTTCAGGCAGTGCCAAGGCGAGAATTGCTCCCAGAAGCGGGGACGTGCCGAAGATGATAAGCGGCGTGACGGGGTTGTGGTTGTGCAGCATATTTATAATGGGTGCCAATACGCCCCCCATCCTCGCAAACATGCTGGACACGCCTATTCCTGTTTGCCTGCAGGTACACCAAGTGCAGAAGCTGCAAGACTGCATGTCTGAGGAAACCTTAAACTACTTGGCAGAAAATGTAGAAGTCCTACCTTAGCACAGTAGGGAAAATCTCAGCAGTGTACACATAGATGACAGCAAATGAGGCTGTAATACCAAACTTCCCAACCATGGCAAGCCCAGTCAGGACATTGGGATGATCTACAGACAAAGAAAAATTTGTATATTTTAAAGAGCAGATTTTATATGTATTTGTTGCTGATTGATGGGATTGTTAGTTGGATGGACCAGTAGATGATATTATTGATTGGTTGGACAAACAGGATTGTTTGTAAAACCATCTATCTATCCATCCACCACCTATGTAATGGTGGATAGATTACATAGATGGAGGATAGATAGATGGATTATTTGTTTGGTTGGACAGGTGGACGGACAGATGTATGGAAAGACTAATGATAGATTGATGAACTGGTTGGTTGGACAAATGGATGGAAGGGTGGATGAATTACAGATGAATGGACAAATGGATAAATAGATTGCTTTATTGGACAGATAGACAGTCGGATTGACTTGCTAGTTGGATGGACAAATTAATAGGTGGAATGGCTGGATTCAGCTTTTCACGTTCTTTGTTATTTTTTACATATTTTTCTATATTTGGAAGATAACTAAGTCAAATTTCAAACTTTTCCAGACTGTGTAGGAACCTCTTGAGAGTCAGCTGTGAGATCCTGCAAAGCGCATTTCATTTTAAGAGATTTCCTGACACTGCAACCAATCCCTGGTCTCCATCCTCCATACCTGCAGGGACAGCGAGCATCAGCAAGCAGGCAAGACCCCCAATCGCCAGGAAGCCACTCTGGGAGAATCGTCGGCTGAAAGGCAGGACGACCAGGACCAGAGAACGAGCTGGGATCTCAACCAACCCAAACACAAATTGGGTCAGGTAGAGGTCTGTCCCCAAACGAGACACACCCAGAGACAGCCCATAGTACACTAGCACGTTCACAAACCTGTGATTGCAAACACAGAAGAATCAAGAAAGATCTCGAAATAACATTGAGAAATGCTGATAAAGGCCGACATAACATACCAGATGTAGAACAAAATGATGGTTCTCTTTCTCATCTGTGGTGTCCGGATTAGATCCATAGCTGAGTGACTTCGCATTGAGCCGCCTAAAAACTCCCACTTTTCAGCCTGGTGTGTAAATGAACACAACACACAAGCAAATGATAAACTTGTTGGTAGAAAATTACTTCAGGACATACGTTTTACCATGAGTTTTACGCAAACAAGCAGGAGTAGTATGCAGCTGAAAGCAAAGCACCACTCAATACAAATAGAAGATGACTGAAGAAGATCCTCTGCAGTCAAGGAAATGCAAAGTACTATAATGACTAAGTAAGTTGTCTAACCTTAATGCAACTCTGAGTGTTTTATACTTAATGAACGTTGAACATAAAAGACAAGAGCATGTTAAATCCTCAGCACTAAAAGACCAGTCCAAACATCATCAGAGAAGAAATATAGTAGGTGGTATTGCCAAAGCCTTTCAGACTTGGACTGGTCCTCTTCCATTGTGTGTTTACATCCAACTTCTGCAAAGAAGTTTTTAAAAATGCATTTTCTCTGGTTGACCTCAAGTCTGTGAAACCGGAGGAACTAAATACATAAGAAGATAAACTTCCTGATTTGTCTAAAGCTTGCTGAGTTGGTTTCAGCTTCTGAGAAGGATTGTTTTGAATTTCAATCAAATTACTGAATGTCTGTTTGTAGTATCTAAAGTCTACAATTATCCAAGTGTTTTCTGAACACATTCAAACATAAGAAGAAATTTACTGAAATTGAGTAAGTGCAATAAGCAGCTGAAAGCCGGCATGATTGTCTGAACAGGAACACTACTCAGATTTTATGCTAACAGGAATAGCTGTATTTTGGAATAGTTGGAAGGACATTACATAGAAAGTAATATCCTGTCAATTTCATGTATTCTTGATCCAGAGTCAAGACATAGATTCCTGTGGTTGGCCACTTTTTTCAATAACTTTGTAGGACATATTTAAGAATGGCCACACATTGTATATGAAAATCAATTGTTGGTTGGCTTGATGGATGGATGGATGGATGGATGGATGGATGGATGGATGGATGGATGGATGGATGGATGGATGGATGGATGGATGGATGGATGGATGGATGGATGGATGGATGGATGGATGGATGGATGGATGGATGGATGATGGATGGATGGATGGATGGATGGATGGATGGATGGATGGATGGATGGATGGATGGATGGATGGATGGATGGATGGATGGATGGATGGATGGATGGATGGATGGATGGATGGATGGATGGATGGATGGATGGATGGATGGATGGATTATAGATTAGACAGATGGATGCACTGGTTAGTTGGACAGCTAGACAGATGGACGGAGAGATTAACTGGTTAGTTCGATGGACAGGGTGGATAGATGGGTAGATAGATGATAGGTGGCCAGATGGACAGATGAATTTGTTGGACAGGTGGACTAATCAATGGATGGAGCTTTGGATGGACTGGAGGACAGATGGGCAACAGCTGGATTAGTTGAACAGACAGATGAAACTGTTAAGTTACAGGAAATTTCCCTACATTTTGGACTGGCATCCTTTTACTTTACACTATCTGGCTGGATGGAAGGATGGACTGGTTGGTTGTATGTATGTGTAGATCACCGGTGACAAACTCCAGTTCTCCAGAGCTACTCCCCTGAAACTCTTAGATGTGACTCTGCTGGACTACACCTGAATAGAATAATTCGATCATTAGCAGGTCTCTGGAGAACTTGTCTACACAAAAAGGAGGTAATTAATCCATTTCATTCCAGTGTTTTGCACTGTCCTGCAGTCTAACAACTGCAGGACAGTGGCCCTTGAGGACTGGAATTTGACGCCTCTGGTGTAGACGACTAATCTGATGAATGGTCAAATGGTTGGCTTGGTTGATTGGACCAACAGACTGATATATGAATGGACAGATGGAAGGATGAATGAAACAAATGCACACCTGGATAGCGGGAGGTAAGACCCGGCCATTAACTAACGCTGCTTTGCGGAGGAGTGCAATGGCTTCCTCTCTCCTGTCGTTGGCCAGTAGCCACCGGGCAGACTGGGGCAGAACCCTGATGGAGGACACAAGCAGATATCAGGGAGGAACCCAGCGCCACAGAGAGGCCATTCATAGTATAGCATGAACACGCATCGATCCAATTTTCTGGTTGAACCTCCCACCGTATGTAGAAGATAAGCAGGAAGCCTGGGGCTGATATAGCGAGCTGCAGTTTTCTCCAGTCTCGTATCAGGTAGGCCACCCCTGCAAGCAGCATGTATCCCAGTCCGAAGGTGTAGTCCGTGATGATGCCTGCCAGCATGCGTCTCTTTGTACACGTCCACTCAGTACCTGGCATACGAAGATTGAGGAGGTTTTGGGAGAGAAGAGGACAAGAGAGATAAGGCGATTGACTGAGGTTTGGAGCTGTGAGGTGGAGGATAACGTGGCAAGTTTACAAAGAAAATAATTTATATTTTTTTTAAATAATTTAAAAAAAAAATAACATACAAGTGGAAGTGGAAATCAATAAATAATACTTTTCTGTAATGCATCAAGCAGAAAAACCTGAGTTCATATTTAATTCCAGGAGGAGAGAAAAAATAGTAATAAAAGATATTTTACAAAGAAAATATGGTTCCCCATTGAGCCTTGTTTATTCTAGCTCCAGTTTTTAACTCTATAGCTTTAGCTCTAATAGTAGATTTGGAAAAGTTTAGACAAGAAGCTATTTTTTGACACAGACTAATGTAAAACAACACACACATCCACCTAAAGAAAATAGAAATATGCACAATGTCACATTTATGACAGGGAAACAGGAAGTCGGAATTATAACTTGAATGTTCATAGTTCACCTTGCCTTGTTCGTCTTTGAGTGTGATCATTTAGTTCATACCAAGAACAAAAGCGTTGATAATGACTCCAGATATGGTGGTCCCAACTGCGAAGCGAAGAATCACGTAGACTGGAAAGTTGGGCGCAAAAGCTACAGCGACTCCAAACACAGTCTGCAGCGCGATGGACAACAGCAGGACCAAACGTCGGCCGTACCTTTCACAAAGAGAGCACTCTTAGATAGTGATGGTCTGTCTCATTAAATCCCAAAATAACTCAAGATGTAGTTGTTAGGGTTCATGTTAAATTTTAAGCCCTGAAAACATTTAAATGTTGAGCCAGAGATCTCCCAAAATAAGACAGCCTAACCAAAGCCAGTCTTTATAAAAGGCAGCCTGTATAACACATTCTTGGTTGCAGATGTTCAACATGTGAATGTATTCTGGTATCGTGCCTTCCATGATGTCATATTTAAATTTTCCTCTCAGAAGGTTTTTTTCTATTGCTTCATATTGATACTGTAAATGACTTATAAAGTGGCTTTTAATTTTATGTTTGGGTTTTACCTCGTTATGTTTTCTGAGTTTGCAATGATCTTGTTTAAAGTATCAAAGTTTTTCTCAACCACTGAATCAATTCGATGTTCATTTCTTTTTTGATTACTTATATTTTAGTATTTTCAGCTTGATATCTTATTTTCTGTGGCTTGACCTCATGGCCCCTAAAACTTCTTTATTAGGATTTTCATTCCACATCAGCATTTTCATTCCTGACTCACAAAATGGTCACTGTGGTTGTTTTTTTTTTTCTCTTTGCACTTAATGAGCCACCCAAGGTTGCAGTAAGCTTCCATCCTAAAGGTAAGGGTTTACAGCAGTAATTAGCTAAACTATAGCTGGGATTGATTCAACCATTGTTCTGTGCAGAACATCTTCATTCTCACATTGCTCAGTTTTTTCACAAAAGTATTAAATATTATATAAATTTACAACTTATGCACAACTTTAAGTATTACATTAGCACTCTGAATATTTAGCTCCAAAACAAACATTTAGTAAGCAAACTAAACATTTAGTTTGAAGCAAAAATATTTTGTTGTTTAGAAAACTAACTATTTAATTAGTAAGTTTTCTAACAATTGCTAGCTCAGACCTAACTGAATATTTAGCCAGCCCAGAGTTAAATATTTTTGTTTGTGGCTAAATAGTTAGCTTGCTCCCTAAATATTTATTTTTTTATTTTGGCTTGTTACTTAAATGATAACCTACATATGTTATTTCAGCTTACCGTCTGTAGCTGCCTTCAACCAGCTTAATCTCAATGCACAACAGGATTCCCTATAAGAGTTGGACCCTCGAGCTGAACTTTTAAGGTGCACTCAGGAATAATTTGTACACTGGATTGTGTATATATCAAAGCAACTACAAAGTGACGTAAGCATTTTTTAAAATCCTCAACCATCAAGGCTGATAGATTCAAAATCATAGGTCATTTTCTGTTGTATAATTTATCCAGGCTTTTTCAGATAATTTTTAATTCTCTGAAAATAATTAAAATCAAGCTTCTGAGAGTTTTATACTAGCAACTCTTTCCAGGTCTAAGACCTAATAAATAAAAAAAACAACAAAAAAAAAATATTTTTTTTTCACTGCTGAATAAAGTAAATATATATATATATATATATATATATATATATATATATATATATATATATATATATATATATATATGTTTTCTCTTGATCGAAGCATGCTGAACCGTGTCTTTAAATCCGAGGCACCTGCTTTTACACTCTCCTGAATTTTGTTTTGTTTTTGTTGGGGAAGGACAGTATCATTTCTCAGAAGATGTCATAAGTCTGAAACAAATTCCACCTCAAAGCAGAGGTCACCAGTTGGAGTCAAACCACCTTGTGTATTTTTAACTCTTGAACTAACTCGCCACAGTTTGTCAGCTGTCCTACTCACACATAACAACCACATGCTAGCAGGACTCCTCCGCCCGCCCCTTTAGCCACGCTTTGATGCTGAAGATCAGCCGAGTCCGCCGTCTTGACTCAGAGTCTGAGATTCCAGCCTTACCTATCAGCCATGGCTCCGAACAACACAGATCCCACCAACAGGCCGAACATGTAGATGGACGATCCGAGGCTGTTCAGTCCAGCTTTGCTGCACACCAGGTCCCACTGGGAGGAGAAGGAAGGAAATAGTTAAAAGTTGCTACTGAATTTACAGATAGGTTTCTCCGGGTGGGATACAATTTTTACTTGTTTGACATTTTCACCATCTACCATGTACTAGCTTCACACTGAAGTTCTCTCAAGATGCTAAAACAAATGTTTGGATTTTATTTTTAATCAAGTTTCTTTCTTTTTAGCTTATTGAGCTTTTCTGCACCCATGATTTTTCAGATTTTACGCAGAACGACGAGACACACAGAAACAGATTAAAAAACACCTGAAAGGAGATACAAAATGTTGCAGATATCACACAAGAAATGAAAAACGTAAATGTGTCGACAATCGGAGCCAAAAACATCTACTGTGTAGGAAACACCAGCTTGGTGTTTTAAAAAGAAAAAGAACAAGGCTCAGGAAAATACTAAGAAGCAGCACAGCCAGAACAACCATAACGTGCTAAATATTGCAAACTATTTGTAGCAGACCCGTATGGAAGCAAAAAAAAAACCCAAAACAAAAATAAAACCCACAAATCATATCTGTGTGGTTTGTGGTTGTTTGGTCTCTGTCAGGAACGCTGCTGCACTGTGTGTGTAAGTGTGTGTCAGACTCACACACAAAAGTGTATTTTTCTTCTCCTATATACTTGCTCACATTATGAGCCACTCTTTAATTAGTTCTATAATAAATGCTCAGCAGTGGTGGTTTTCATTGTGGCTCACAACCCACAGAGTTACAACGTTAGCGCGTCTATCAGCTGCTTTAGGAACAAGTTTCCTATTGGTTATTTGCAAACCCGTTCCATAAGGAGTCGATAATCCCTCTGGAGGTGAACAATGCAAGCTCTTATGACTCTCAGATCGCTCGACAACAACGTCTGCACAGCATAAATGTCATCATCTGCTGGTACACTGGAGTTTAACACAAGAGTTATTTTACCAACTGGAGACAAACAATGGAACTGAGCCGGGGTTGTAATTGGGTGTGTTTGTATTATTTAGAATATTTACTATTACTAAAAAAATATAACTAGCTTCAGCTGACAAATAAATGCAAACATTAAAGTGTTGTAGGATAGGTAATATTTTCCAAATTCCACTTTTTCCATTCTAATTTTTCTGAATTCCTCTTTTTTTTTTTTTTGTCCTCGCATCATTCCTCATTTTATCCATATTTATTAACCCAAAAATGTCTGAAGTATGAGGTGTGAATAATAATAAAAAAATGAACACACCAATAGCTAAAGGCCAACATTTACTGTTATTGTGTTTCACAAATGTAACAAACTGCTGTGGTTCCACAGAACATTTGTTTTATAAGGTGTTAAAATGTGTTTCCTCTTATTCCCTTCTAACGGCTAGCCTTCCCTTTCAGCCAATATCAGCTAATTCGGTGAAACCGATCTCAGTATCGCAGCCGCCCTTTCTGCATCGTGGAACTCATGAGGCCTTAGTGGAAATGGAGTCATGTCACCACAAACTGTTTTGGGTCCAGTTTATGTTGAGTAAACACAACTAATATCTGTCATCATCAGTGGTCATATTAACTAGCCTGAACATCCACGATAGGCTCTGCTATCAAGAAGAAGCTGTGGAGTAGCAGCTAGAGAGCAAGATGAGAGAGGAAGAGGCAGTGTGTACAACCATGATTGACAGTGCTAAGACCCTACTGACTGATTGGTTGTTTCAAGCAGAGGAGCTTCATCTTTTTCATAGTTTATGTGTATCATATAATGCTGTCACAACATTATGACAGTTTCAAAACATAGACTATGTACAAAAAAAATATATTTTTATTTTTTTTTCCCGAAGTTATGCACTAAGCTGTTGCAGAAAGTTTGTGTCGATGAGGCAGTGGAGTGGAGGGGGCTCCCCTTTGGGACACCATTCACGCAGGAACCGCCACTGCTACGTGATCTATATATATGCCGGTACCTCGGTGACAGTGGTGCTTTGGAAAACCTCCGTGCTGTAGACCCAGCCGCGGGCGCACGGGACGCGCTCCGTCCGGTTGCCCTGCAGTCGCAGCATCGCCTCCGAGGAGAAGCAGGAGGACTCCGAGAGGCTGGCGTTCTCTGCGCGGAGCGTCGTCTGGTTCCCCGCTCCCGAGCTGGAGTTCTCCCGGCAGCCGTAGCGCGGCGTGGCCCCGGTGAAGATGCTCACCATCATGTGGAAGGCGAGAAGGATCTGAGGCAAACAAATCCAGATGTACAGGATCTTCTGATATTTGCCAAAGCCGCCGATGGCAGCGAGGATCTGGTCGAAATTCATAGGGTGGGAATTTATGGGGATCTACAGGTCAACGTGAAAGAGGCTCCTCTGCAGCGCCAGGCAGTGAGTCAGACCAGGATGTAAACAAGGTGTATCTTCTCCTCCATGTGCAGCAGGAAAACAAACAACAACAAAAAAAAAAAAAACAGTAACTATCTGAATCAATTCCAGTTCGGGGTCATCTTCCCCCCTCCAAGCCTCCACCTGCTCTTTCCAAACGCCGAATTCTGATCCACGCGTGAAAGTTTCTCTCTCCGCATCACATAATGGAAGGAGGAGCGTGTGTAAGTTCACCAGCCGGAGGCGCGGAAAACCGGATGCAATTAACGCTCCACAATCAGAGGCACTGTTTTAAGAAGTGAGAGAAGACGTGCATCCCTCACACCTTCCGGCTCCCTTCTGGTTTCCCACATAAATGGCAGCGGAGGTGGTGCGATGGATGCGCTGCTTACTGTACAGGGAAGAGCCATGTATGCAAAATGCTGCACAACACGCGCCATATGTGCGGATTCAAGCGCTGATTTAAAGGGACGTTTATATCAATGTGTTTGCTGAATTACAATGCACGGGACGCATCGTGATTCATAATTCAACGGTGCAATTACCGTTTTATAAGCATCTCATTTGCATAAATTGGTCTTAGAGCACGTGCCTTTGGCTCACACTAGCTCTCTGCTGCCATCTACTGTTTGATCAGGTGGTGGAAGATTTGACATAAATCTGGTGTGTTTTTGTAATAGGCTAAATGTATAGAGGATCAAAACTGACATAATTAAAAATAAGAGGAAACATGTAAAAACAACAAATGTGAACATCTTGCATCAATTAAATTGTTTAAAATAAGTGTTTTAATTAAAATTATATATTTTGAATTAATAAATACATTAAAAAAGAGAGACAAAAATACAACTATGAATAAAAAACATTCAAAAAGACTTTTAAGAACAGTTTAAAAATTAACTTAAATGCTTTAATGTGCTTAAATTTAGAATTTGTTGAAACTAACCTGAAAAGATAAATATGAAGTTCAACTGAAAAATAAAACATGAGGTGAATATCTCCCTTTTTTTAAAAAAATAAGGGATGCATTTGAAGCATATTGATTGATTTATTGAACCATTTATATATTTCTGCTTTCAGTTTTGATTGTGACAGTTTCGATCCTCCATAAATCCTTTGGAGATTTTGTTTGATCTGGAGCTTTTTATTTGAAGTTGACCCCAAACCAACTAGATTCGTGGTCAGTTGGCACAAAGAAAGAGAGGGTTGGACTCGAACTGAGAACCAACTTTGGCGCTTGTGGTGCTGTGCCGCCACCACAAAGCATGGTGGTGGCAGCATCATGCTTTGTGGATGTTTTGATGTTGATGTTCCTTGTGCATTACGCAAATCGGATGAACTAATTAAAAAAATTTTTTTTTTTTCAAGCAGTTTCATAGAAAAACATCAGAAATGACCACAAATTAAGTCACAGATAATACCCAAACAATATTTTGTCTTTAAAATAATAATTTTCCTATTGTGTTACATGTTAATGCTGAGATTGTCTATTTATTTATTTATTTATTTTTGAACAGTAAACCTCACCAACTGCGGTTGCTTTTGTCTCGTGTGTTTTCGTGCGTGAAGCTTTTATTTTGAAAGCGGCAGTCCAGAAGTCGTCCTGTTTCTGCCTCTGACGCTGTGGCTGCATGTAACACAAGCTTCAGAGGAGAAGCGCAGGAACGGACGGACAGGTGGGGGGGCGGGATGGATGGATGAGAGGCCGAAGGAGTAGACTCGGGTCCGGGCATCGTTTGGAAACCAGTCGGAGTTCTAATTGATCCTCCGGAGCTGCTGGCGCTGCAGAGAGAGAAAGAGGCAGATCTCCCATCTTTCCGCCCGGCCTGCCTGCCTCTGTTCCTGCCCATCCCTGGAATATTACCCCAGCACCATCATCATCATCATCCCGGCCCGCCTGGCTGCCTGTAGTTTCCCCTCTTGGATGTTTCACTGAGACGGGACACCGGATCTTTTCGTCGTGAGAGTAAGTAGAGAGCAGCTCACGTTATTGCCAATGTCATCCACCATAAGGTCAGCTGTTCGTCCTGCCGCTGTGTGAGAGAGAGAACACATGAACAGACAGGATTTTCACCCATGACGCGACCTGCCAGTGGAGATGAAGCCACACCCCTCAAACAGCATTCAAATAACATCGTTTCTATGGTTTCTGGCACACGCATCTGTGAACCCTGACCTATTTGCTCGTACTAACCACACCGACTGCAGAGGCAGCTTGCTTTAACGGCATCGTTCGTGTCATACTGTCATTTTTACCGACAACCTAATTCAGGCTACTTTGATAATAAATCCTGGTCTGGGTTGTTTTAACACAATAGAGTTTAGAAAATGCCAGCGTCAGCAAGCTAGCAGAGCCGGTCCTAAATAGAAAACTGTTTGGGGGCCTATCTATATTAACCAATCACAACAGCTCAGCTAACATTGGCTTTGTGGCGTCCATACTCAAATCAGACATCTTACATCACCGTTGTTGTAGCTTTTAACTTAAAAAAGAAACGTCAGCTTGTTGTAATAAATGTCTAAACTGATTGAAATGTTATGTTCCTTATGCTGGTTTGTTTTTAAGAAGTTTGTCCTTACTTCTGATTGTACATCATAGAAAGTGGGAACATGCTTGTATGGGTTTTTGATGCTTTTGGCAAGCAAAGGGTAGGCTGTAAAGAATCCATAACCTGAAATGTTAAATCAGTCATGTTTAGGTTAAAATAAAGCATTGTAATTCTGAATGAAAATTATTACATAAAACAACAAAGACAAATGATTCTGGATAGGTAATTATACAACACTGGATATTGCCTCTTTATTGAGATGTAGGAACAAAGCTAGCACCAGCTAGATAATGTTTTCTGAAGACAAGCCTAGTCCCAAGAAAGTCTAGAAAGGACTTTAGTGCATTTTATAAAATGGCCCACCAGTAATGTAATACTTTATAGAGTAAACAGTACATAAAGTTTGAGCAATTCTTTGGTTGAACTGTTGTGTTGAACATGCCTAGCATAAGCTTGTGCTCGCGACTTAGCAAATAAAAGGCTTAGGCTACAGCTGACTGTACAGAAAGGGTTGAGTAAAGTCTAGTCAGGTCAATCTTGTCTCTTTTCTAACCAATGCAAGCAGAATGTTTGACCCAATTTTTGCCCCAAGAAATATAAACCCAGCTGTTTTTTGTGTGCAGCCATTTTTTCACCAAGACGAAATGATGAAAATCCAAAATTAATTAACCTAAACATTGTCATGTTAGTTTTAATGAGATGCTTCAGGTCACCTTGATTTATAAAACTTAGGGGTTTTCAGTTTATATACCACAGGTTGTACTGGAGGGATAAATGTCATTGTGTTTTATTAACAAGCATTGCTTTCGGGACTCAGTTTTGTACTTGCATGATGTAGGCTTATTTTTTTCCACGCAACAAATTTGAACTAATATAGAAACGTAATTTTGAAAACACAGCAGCGATGTTAAGCTGAGTACAGAGTGCTGCATGAGGAAAGCTGTACCTAAAACAGAGCTAAGCTGTCTGTTGTGGAAGCATTACAAAACACATGAACGCAGTCTTTGTTTCTATTATTCTACGCTCAACTAGACGTGCCAAAACACACACACACGCACGTAAACAGATGCTTAAATTAGCCTCTGGTTTTGAAGCTTGGGTGCTCAATATTTGATTTCTCACAGCAGTGATGTCACAATTTCAGCCCGCAGTGTGTTCAGCCACATAGTGATTCCTGCAGAACTCAGTCAGAGCTGCAAGGTCACAGAAACTGATATCACTGTGGATGTGTGAGGCTTTCTGGGGTGACTGCAAGGTCAGCGGTAGCTTTATTGCTATCTAAAATCCTTTAAATGTATTCTACATTAATTTTCTGCAGCTGCATAGATTTAGTATCCTGAAGAACCTTGCAGCTCACTTCATGCAATAATTGGCACCATTTAGAGACTAAAACTTTTGAGCAGTTCTTTGTAAACTAGCTCAAGCTCATTCGGATCAGACGGAGCAAATTAACAGAAATCAATTTCTGCTAATTCGATGAAGAATCTGCCACAAATTCTCCATTGAATTTAGGTCATGACCGTCCTCTGACCTCAACCACCGCATTGCATGTCCGGTCAGATATTTAGCGTCGTTACCTTTCTGTTGCTACTTCCTACAGTATGATGCATCTACCACCATGTTTCACCAAAGAAATGATGTACAGAGGTTGCTATGCAGTTTTAGTTTTCCAGTTTTCCACCACAAAAGAGTTCTGCTTGGAACTCTTTTGTTCAGTTTTAGTTCTCATCTGATCAGAACAGAGTGTAATGTTGTCTTGCTGCTCAATTCCAATTTTTCTTGCTAAAATCTCACTTTTTTGTGAAAAAGAGTTGTTTATAGATCAATTTCAAATTGTCACAAGATCAAAACATCACAAAGGAAGCTAATAAAAAGAAAGCAACTTATAGCAACAGCTACTGTGGAGCATCGACTTGTCTGTTTGGGTGTGTAGTCAGAGCTAAAAGTGGTGGGATTGTGATGCGATGTGCTTCAGTGACACAGACGTCCTTCATGAGTTCATAATTGTAATTTTAAGACAGAAGACACTTTGAAAACAATCGGATATAAATCCAAATTGGTACCACATATGGAAGTGGCATTTCAATTTTTCCATTACTTAAATAGATTAATAAAGTATTTTTGAAATGTTTTTTTTGGTTGAAATTTGAATAACAATCCAGTTAAATCCATTGGGGCGCTTGATTATAACATGACAAAATGTGGGAAAGTCCACAGGGTATGAATATTTTTTCAAGGTGTTGGTTCTCCAGAACTTCCTCTGGCCGCCACAATTGTTTCCCAACCGTTAAAAGTTGATGTCTGCAGAGTTATTGATGCGTCACGCTGGCAGGAGATCTACTGCCGACTCAGCAGACTTCTTTAAATTAAAGACTCTGTCAAGTGAAAACAAGGATGAGAGTGGACTTTTTCGATAACTCTCTTAAAGTTTCTGTTTGTCTCGTTCCTGGTAGAAATCTTCCCCTCTCGCCACCCTCGTCTCCGGCCTCTGTGGTGGAGCAGCTGACCCCCGTGGGGCTCCGGCTCCAGTGGCTCATGGCCCCTGCTCCTCCACAGCTCTGAGCCAAGCTGGCCTCCCCGGCTGCCGCGTCGCTCACCCCGGCCACAGACCTGGATCCCGATCCAGACCCAGACCCCGACGAGCGTCTCGCTCACGAAGAGCAGTATGTGAGCGTGGGCGAGTGCAGCCCGCTTGACGCCGGTCCTGCACCTCCTTCCTGCAGGGATGCTGAAACCATCACAGGTTAATTTAGTGTCGCCACAGCCATGAGGCTGACACAAAGTGAAAATGGGCTGTTTTAAGGTTATCATTTCAACGCTAGAAGTGTCCCAATACAACTTTTCACTTTCAATATAATATCGATATTATGTATTGGCTGGTACAATATTAACTTGATACTGTAATGGTTTTAATCTGTTTTTTGATGTATTAAACTAAATATATAAGCTCAATCCACTGGTATTGTTCTAAACTCTCAAATTATATATTAAAAAGAACAACATGAATTTTCTTTTGGGATTAATAAAATAATTTTGAATTTGAATTTGAGAGTTTAGAAGAACACCAGTGAATTGAGATGGTATATTAAGTTTATTGCATTGTAGTGGTTTCAGTTGTGTTAAGCTTATGTTTTACCAGTTTAATTTAAGTTGGTATGCATTAAAAGTTTGTAATAATATGATACGGATTCTATCCAGTCAGTAACAAGCCTGTCAAAAGAAGTAATTAATCAACTGATTAATTGATTGGAAGATAAGTTAAAATTAGCTCAGTAATTTCCTTTTATATTTTCTTGAAAGGTAATTTTGTTTCCAGAGGCATCATGATACATTTTATCAGTGGTTTTGATTGTAAGTGATTTAGATTTTTGTTTTATTTATTGTTTTTGGTTAAGTTTCATTTTTGGGTATTTAAAATCTCTTCTAGTTCTATTGTGAAGTTTATTAGATTCTGAGAGAGCGAACTTGTATTGTTATCCCATGATCAACATTTACTTCAAAATGGTCTCAAAACAGCAATATTAGTGTATCGCAACGATTATTGGGACAATATATTTGTTATCGTGACATGTTATGTTGTTATATCACTGATTGTTTGATTTACTGAGGACATTCAGTTCTGTAATGATGGTCCTTATTTATTTATGATGAGAAAAAGAAATCCAAAGCAATCTAGTTCACAGCATGCATTTTGGTGTCGCTCAGATGTCTGCAACAGCACCGACCTGCCAGAGTTTGAGATTATCAGCCTTCTGGAGGAGCAGCTGCCGGTCTACCGGCTGCGGGCCGACACCGTCTACGGCTACGACAACGATGATTGGCTCCACACGCCCCTGGTGGCGCCGGACGCCAGGCTCGACCTGACCACTGAGCAGATTGAAGAGACACTCAAATACTTCTGTAAGTCTCACTGAACGTGTGCCGAGGTGAAGCTGCGTGGAGGCAGTTTTAGAGGTGGGCTGATGACACAATATCCTTGAATGGGAGAAATAATATAAATAGTAGAACTGGGCATAGAGCATCTATCAGAGTTGTGGAAAATTAACAATTTTTAACAGTTTCCAAAACAACCGAAAGAAAATGACTGCAAATCATTTTAGTGTCATTTTGTAGTGGAGATTCAAATTTAATTCCATTTAAAAAAATCTTTATAACTTTATGTTTACTGCAGGTTGTAGACCACTGATCTGTACCAATACCAGCATCATCCAATGACCATCGCTAGAGTTTTATACAATATGCCACTTCATTTAAACTGAAAAAGAAAAACATCTAGAAAATAAAGAAAAATAATGCTGAAATATAGTAAAAAAATACACTTGTTCCTGTAAAAATTCTTATGTTGAAGCAAAACCACTAAAAATCTGTTTTCCCCGTTACAGAGCATCTATAACTTCTAACAGGGAATGTTTCCAGGAACAATCTTTATGTTTAACAGAATGTAAAACAGACAGTAATGTGGCACATATTTCCAATATGTAGTGGTATCTGTTTCCAGCAGCTGCCTGAGGGCTTGAACCAATTCAATATGACCACCTCATCAAGAGAGATTTCTCCTGACACATTCTGAGAATATTTAATGCCGTATAGAATCCCTAACAATTATTAGAATTTGTTTTCCTTTATGGAAAAGAAACCAAGTTTTGAAATCTTAAGTGTGTGTTAGAGGCAACCCTTCAGTTGCCTCTAACTGTTATGTTTGAAGTTACTAAGGACTGAAATGCAGAAAAAAAACAAATATGGTTGATCAGATTACTTTAATAAAATAAGATGAACTTGCAGGGGAAACCGCAGGGAGTGAACAGAAGAAATTAGCTACCAAAACTGAAAAATGGGGAGTTAAATACTGAAGGAGGGAGACGACCAATAAGCACAGAGGGAGCTGAAGTAAGGCAACATTCACACAACAAATGTGACCCAAGTCCCTTTTTTTGCCCATATGTGACTTATATCTGAGTTTTTACAAGTAAGAACGGCCTAATTCCTAATTCACCATCCCAAAAAATCCAGTTTTACCACTTCTGTTTGTGGAACTAAATTGAAATTCTCTGGGCGTCTGCAGTCGTGACGTTGTATTTTATCCGACAGTCATGTTGCTAATGTGAGATGCGTCCTAATTTTTCACCAGAAAAGCCCAGTGGTGAATTCGGACTTCAACAGTGGCTGAAAATTATGATAATGAAAGAAGTCTGTGTCACTGAAGTGCATGACATTATAATCCCCCCACACATCCAAACGTCTCTGTAGAAGTCAATGTACTTTCTTTTTATTAGTTTCCTTTGACTTGTTGTAATCTTGTGACGAAAAGTCGGCTCTCGTTTAAAATCCGTCCTTTAACATCTCCATCCACTATTACTTCCAAAACCTTTGCGCTGCTGTATGACATCTACATTCCTCTTCTGCTCAAAGAAGTCTCATTGCGGTCGGGTTCAATTCATAGTACGAACAACCACGCAACAGAAAAAATAGGATTTCAGCAGAAAAGAATCAGATTGGAGCATAAAGGCATGTTGTGTAAACTAGCGTCAAAAAACCAAGAGGGAAAATGCCTGGCAGAAATCAAACAGAAATAAACTATGAAACTAAACAAAAAGGAATTAACATACAGTATATGACACCTTTACAACCTCAATGAAGACAGAGAAATGAACTGAATATGACAAGGCCTATACAACATAAACAAAACAGGAGAATGAGCAAAACACAGACACCTGCAGATCCACTTTTCTGTCTGACTACTTTCAAACAAAGGCCACTGGACCCAATGAAACCTTTAAAAAAAATCTAATCACAGTGCAGCCAACTCTGTGTGACGCCAGTCGACTGTATTCTGCCATCTCTCCTCCTCCCTCACGTTCGCTCTCACGCATGTGGGCGGAGGTTAATCGGGTTTCTGAAACCACAGCCGCTTCCAAGCACTGGGGCTGAGAGAGACGTGAAAAGTGAATGGGATTTGGATCCTCAGTTGTCACGGCACCATCAAGCACCGCCAAACAAATGGAAGACTTGGATAGCAAGAACCAACTAGAGGGACTAGCTAGGGATGAATGTGCAATGAAGGGCTGGTACTGTAAGGAGGAAAAGGAAGGTAAAGTGTATTTTGATAATATTCCTGGTTTTGTGTGTGAATTTTACTTGCAAGAGTTTGTGAATCTTATGGTTTGTGACATCCAGATCCATAGAAAGTCCATGATGCCCCTTGGTTATCTTTAGGTCAATGGCTCATTGAAGCAAAACTATTTGCTTCAATGAGCAAATAATTCATGGAATTAGGTGACATGGACTTGAAGTTTTATCACAATATTTTGCTGTACTAATTGTGGTTGTGATAACAGTGATGATAAAAAATATTTATGTATTTTTTTAGGTAACTGTATGGCTGTGACTGTGTGCCACGGCAATTATAGCCCCACAAACACAAATGCTGCTCTTGAAAAACATTCCCATATGTAATGTGCTTCTTTAGTGACATGAGTCATGTTAAAGCAAAATACTTATTGTGAAACGAAATTTATTGTGATAAATGATAAACGATATGATAAATGCCCACCTTTATAAGGAATTAATTTAAAAGCTTGTTTCCTATTTTTAATTTAGAAAAAAAAACAGTTTTCTAGACCTGCTTTAATGAACTAGATTTAATACTGACGGTATTACAGAAGCTTACCATAATGCATTCAATATCTCTGTTCAGCATGTTATCGATCTCGGCTCTGGAGTCGATAAGATGAGACGCCCCCAGGGCAGCAAAGCCAGCAGTGTGCACCATGGAAAACAGCTCCCTCCACTTTAGCTTTGATTCCCGTCCATAAAACAGCTGATGGAGCTGCTATAGCCTATAGATGACGCATCAGTCATAGCCTTCGTACGTTTGTGCGTTACGTAAAGCAGGCTGCGTATGAGCAACCTGTCACATAGCCTAGTTTACTGTAGGCGGTCAGAGGAGATGTTCCTGAAGTTAAATTGTTTTATTTTATTTCTCCTTCTTCCTGCTCTTTTTCAGTCAGTTGCGTTCGCGGTAATTTTCACATTGTTTTGTGTCTCCACAGTGATGTGCGCAGACAGAGTGGGCCAAATGACAAAGACCTACAATGATATTGATGCTGTCACACGTCTGTTGGAGGAGGTAAAGCAGCAGATTTTTTTTCTTCTTCTAGGTTGAGTCATAGTTGCACTGAGAGTTAAGGTTAGAGCTGGAGGCTGTATTAAAATAACTTTGTTTCTCAAAAAGGAAGAGTACATTTCTGCCAAAAAACTCTAAAATTCTTAAATTAATCTAAAAAATAAATTTAAAAAACTCTGAAATTCTTAAATTAATCTAAAAAATAAATTAAAAAAAACTCTGAAATTCTTAAATTAATCTAAAAAATATTCTTGAAGGAAACTTGAACATTTCTTAGTTTCAAAAGAGGAAACTTTTTGACTTTTGAAACTCAGAAATTGCTTTGTTTTTCTAAAAACAAAGAAACTGGCGTTTTTGACAGAAATGTACTCCTTTTCCTATCTACAATGTCCGTAATATGTTGTAGTAGGACATTAAATCTGGTTATTCTTTTCCTGTTTCAGATTGGTTAGGATTACCACAATTGTTTCTTTTTGGTAAATAATAACTTTTCAAAATTCAGACATTTATGCATCTTTAGTATTTCAGTATATTTCTGAACCATAGAAATGTTTTACACCTTTATATATGTTGTAAAATGTTTAATTGTTTAAACAGATGAATGGCACCATAACTGATTTTGAGATTGTATCTAAGGATAAACCAGTTCTCTTCCCAATATCTGGGATGATTCCATTTTATTTTTGATTCATTATTTATTATTGATGCCACATAAATCTTGTGGAGTAAACTATAAGAACCTTCAAATCCTTGACATTATGAACTTGACTTTCCAAAATTGCTCAACAGCATCACAATTTTATCTATATTATTGATATTGATGTTGAAAGTAAAAAAAAAAAAAACTTTCCATAAACCTGAAAAGTTTATGAATGAAAATATTTAGCCTGATATCATTTCAGAGAAATATGTTTTTGTCTTTTCATTCTGTGAATTGACATATTTTAGGGATCCATCAAAATGAAAATCTGGGCTGATAACCGATATTTACCGATATGTATATTTCACTACCCTTTCAACACCTAGAAAAACACTGATTCCCCCACTACTTTTCTTCCTCAGTGAAACTCCCCATAATTCTTTGCTGCATCACTGTCACATGACCAAATAAATACAATGTGACCAACTTCTTCTGTTACTCTTCAGAAACAAACAGCAACATTATGGAAATAAATATTGATTGTTAATATCGGTCCAGTTTTATTTTTCGGGCCAATACAGATGTGTTAAAAAATTACTAACATCGGCCGATTCCCGATGTTAGCGCAGATATGTTGTGTATCTCTTCTATATTTACTGGCTTCAACTACGAAATCATTTGCCCTCCATCTAACAGAAAGAGAGAGACCTGGAACTGGCTGCAAAGATCGGTCAGTCTCTTCTCAAGAAGAACCGAACTCTGACTGAACAGAATGACTACCTGGAGGAGCAAGTGGGGCAGATCACTGAGGAGGTTCTGTATTAAAAACACTCTCTGGTCTTTATCAGCTGCAGTGAGACTGAGCCAAGTGGTCTGAAGAACATTTTCCCTCCTCCAGGTGGCCCAGCTTCACCATGAGCTCAACCTGAAGGACGAGCTGCTTCAGTTTTACACCAACGCAGTGGAGGAGTGTGAGGACGAGTCCGCCACTTCCCCCACGTCAGCATCGACAATTTGCTTTCCTTTTTTAACTGTAGTAGAAATTTAGACTCTATTCATTGTAAAGAGGAATGACTAGGAATTAAGAATAATGAAGGAGGGATGAGGTGAGTGAGTGGGATAAGAATGGGTTGTAAAGAGTGATGAGAAGGAATGAAGGATGATAAAGAAGGGATGAGTGGGATATGGGAGGGTTGAAAAGGGGAGCAAATGTAATGTGCAGATGATGAAAAAGGTCTTTGGAGGATGAGTGACGTAAGGAAGGATTGTAAAAAGGGATGAATGAAGGTAGGAATGAAGGATGACAAAAGAGGGGGGAGTGTGATAAAGAAGTGCCTGTAAAGAGGAACAAATATAAAGAGAAGAATGCAGACAATGAAACAAGTTTTCAGGAGGATGAGAGGGATAAAGAAGAGTTTTAAAGACGTTTGAGGAGAAGGAGAAACCAGGGATGTTGTCTATGAATTAATCAGTTTATGTGTTTCTTACTCCAAAAGGGGCAAGAAGAGTAAAGCAGAAACAGCTTCAGGAGTCTTTCTTAGTGACACGCTCCAGAGGAAACTCAAAGAGCTGGAAGAGGAGAACCTGTCACTCCGCTCAGAGGTGCAGCATACAGCCCACTAATTGCACAATGTACATGCAATATATGCTACTAAACCTTTTTCTGGTCACTGATTCTACGCAGGCCAGCCATCTTAAGTCAGAGACGGAAACGTATGAAGAAAAGGAGCAGCAGCTTGTCAGTGACTGTGTGAAAGAGCTCCGTAAGTCTTGTGTCTCGTCCCCGTGACACTTTCACATTACTGCCACTCTGCAACTCTGTGCACATATCTTTGCCTCGAACAACGTATTCTTCCAGGGCTGTCCAGTCTGCAGATCTCTGCTATCGCCGAGGAATTGGCCCGGAAAACCGAGGATGCCTCCCGTCAGCAGGAGGAGATCACGCACCTCCTCTCTCAGATAGTAGATCTCCAAAAGAAGGCTAAATCTGTAAGCACACGTTTCAAATTTAAAACTGCTTTTCTAAATATTGTTGATCCAAGTCAAACCTGTAACTGTTGGTGCAGCTGGCTGTTGAAAATGAGGAGCTATCTCAGCACCTAGTGGCAGCAAAGGATGCTCAGAGGCAGCTTACAGCAGAGGTAACTTTCAGGTTTTTAGTCATAATTTAGTTATTGCAGAGAGCTTGCAAAAATTGATTGTGAGAACTGTAACGCAACAGCTGCAGGAGCTGGAGGAGAAATACTCGGAGTGTATTGAGATGCTGCATGAAGCCCAGGAGGAGCTTAAGAACCTGAGGAACAGGAACTACCCTGCAGGAACTCCCCGACGCTACCACCCACTGGGTCTCTACCCAATGGTGAGTGGGATCGTCTGCAGACTGGCTGATGACAGGAGAACCTGTCGCTTAAAGAGTCTCCGTCTTTCAGGATTCTCTGGCGGCGGAGATCGAAGGAACAATGAGGAAGGAGTTGAGTCTGGACGATCCTGAGTGTGAAGAGCAGAAGTACGTATGATTTGGGTATCCATGCGTTTATCTTTAGTTTACTGCAATAGTGCCTTCACGGATCTTGCTAAAAAATGAATTTAGACAGCTGATCCAGAAAGCCACTGCTTGTGTTCTCACTAAAATCAGGAAGATGAAGCACATCACCCAGTTCTGAAGTCCTTCCACTGACTCCTTGGAGCTCAGAGAATAGACTTTAAAATGTTTGTGTATGAATTACTGAAAGACTTAAAGCCAAAATATTTATATGTTGTTGTTGTACCAACCTCCAAGAGTATTCAGGTCTTCTGGATCTGGTCTGCTCTGCATCCCTAGAACCAGAACCAAACATAGAGAAGCAGCTTTCAGCTTCTATACACTACAAATCTGGAACAGACTTCCAGATAACTGCAAAGATGCCAAACCACTGAGTTCCTTAAAAATACCTTCTTCCCTTTGATTCCTAATAACTGGAACATTTATTAATATATTTGATGAGTATTTGCTTGATGATTTTGATGATAACATTTTGGTTATTGCTTGTTTTATAATTGCTTACTGTATTATATTTCTATGTGGTAAAACACTTTGAACCTCATTGTTGCTGAAATGTTCGACACAAATAAACTTGACTTGCTCATGTTGTCATGTGAAGGCTTCAGTATACAGAGCGAGACTCTTGTGTGTGCAGGATCCACCGGAAGCGAGTGTTTGAGACGGTGAAGAGTGTGAACCAAACCGTTCGCCAGCGCTCGCTCACTCCGACCAACTCCAACATCCCAGGCTCCAACCAATCACTGTCCACTCGGACGTCACCCCAGTCCAGCGGCCTCTCCACACCTCACTCCGCCATGTTTGGCGGGGACATCGTCGGAGACGGTGTCGCCTACGACAACCGGACCCAGACCATTCTCATGGAGACAGCATCCAATCAGGACAAGTGAGTGGTAGCCAGAAGATGTTGAGGCTACACTGGTGTCCTTGTGCTCCTAAGTGATTTCATCTCTTTCAGCAGCTCAGAGTGCAGAGAGAAGAAGGCGAGCGGGGCAGAGGACCTGCGGCTGGCCCTGCGCCGCCTGTCTCTGCGCCGACAAAACAACCTGAGCGAGAGACGCTTCTTCGAAGAGGAGAGAGAGCGCCGACGGGGCAGAGTGCACGGAGCCCTCGACCACGACAACGTGCTGACCCCTTCTGACAGCATCATGTCGCTAGGAAACCTGAACCTGTGGGCCTCCCGGGGGCCGTACCTCCCCGACAAGCTACAGATCGTCAAGCCGCTCGAAGGTGAGGGGGGAAGCGAGCGCGGAAGCAGCTGCAAGGCGGGCAGGAGCTGGGAAGCCGAGCGCCACCGGGGCGTCGGAACCAAGAAAGGGAGCAAGTGGGGCTGGGGCATGGACACGGAAAGGAGGTGCGAGGGTCGGCATGGGCGAATGCTAGAGGGGGAAAGGGTGTGGGGGTGGGCCAGGAGGACTATAGCAGGGGTGGAGCGGGAGAGAGGAAGAAGGTGGGCAAGGGATAGAGCCGGCGGCAGGAAGAGGAGGAGTGCAAAGGAGAAGAAGGAGAGGCCTATGCCTCTGATGCTCTTCAACTCCTTCTGGTCTCTGATGCATCACCACAAATATGGCAGCTACTACAAAGAGCCACAGCCCAGAGGGTGGCTGTAGACACACAGGAGCACATAGGAGCACATACCTACACACACCACTAAATAGTTTGACAAAGTGATTTAATGTTCATTAACGATTTTGACCTGTAAAGAAAACTAACCAAACATAGAACGTGCAAACAGACCTGTAACCTTTCCATTAATATGATTTTATCCTTCTGCTGTTTTTAATCAACAGCTGATGTTTCATTGTTTCACTGTAAAGAAGCTCACAGCAGTTTCAGACCGTAGTGCTGCCTGCTGGAGGTCTGTGCTGCCCTCTGCAGGTAGAAAGAAGTCATTGAACATAAAAGTGTGGCAACACCCTTAAACCCTGATCGTTTTGAACTTACAGCATGTTTTATGGTTTAACATTATAGACCACTGTTTTGTATATCCAAACTGGACACATACAACAGTAGTTAGAAGTTTATGTACACTCTTTATGGGCATTAATGGTATATTTAAGACTTTTTTTCAAGGTGTAATAATTATACCACGGACAGTTGTAATAAATGATCCTTCTTTTACAGAAAGTCCAAATCCAGGTTCCACCTATTTGAAAGAAAACAGCTTAGAATGATTTAGAAACGTTTGTCTTAACTATTCAGTGATTTCCTCTGGTTTTGTTGTTTCTTTCATGTCTCCATGTTTGCTCTGTCATTTCTTCTCTTGCTTTTCATTTGTGATTTTGTTAATAAAGTTATTGTCTCAGTCTACTTTTCGCTTCCATTTCACTTCATTTTTATGATTTGTCTGCTTTTCATTCTGTTTGTTTGCCATCTTTCTGTCTGCAAATGTTGTTTCTCTTCAGATCTTACTATTATTACAAATACATCAATACGGTCAAATAATTAAATTTAAAAACATTATGGGTTATAATTTATTGTTTAATTAGACACTGTATTGTATACCGTGGAGTATTAGGGGGAACACTAAGAAAATAAAAATAATAAAATTACGAGAATAAGCTCATTTTACAAGAATAAACTTAGAAGAGGATAAAGTTGTAATATAACTTTAATATTAAGTTATATTATTTTGACATAGAAATAATATGAGAATAAAGTAATAATGTTATTTTCATCCCATTATTTTCACTTTAATCTCGTAATATTATGACCCAAGTATTTATTGGAATAAATTCTTATTTTCTATTATTTCTTTGTATGAACCCAATACTTTGTATTAATGTTTGCATTGTCTTAAATACCAGAAATTGGTACCAGAAATACCAATGCCAGAAATTATGATAGTTTCCAAAAAACAATTAAAGTTGACTGATGACCATTGACTGATGGCCTTCTTGTCTCATAATACCACTGTCACTGCTGTGATAGTATATTTGTTTTGGAGGACGGAAGTATTCCTCCAGCTGATTGTGTCTGTAAGGTTTTGCCGTTTTCTTCGTCTCCAGGTTCAGCCATCTTGCACCAGTGGCAGCAGCTGGCTCAGCCTCACCTCGGTGTGATCTTGGACGCCAGGCCCGGCGTCGTGCCGAAGGGCTACAGGCCCCTTGAGCTGGAGCTGGAACAGGTGTGTGTGTGTGTGTGATTTACTTCAGAGGTAGATATAAACTGGTAGGTGACTGTTTTCCAAATAGAAAGTTAGAAAGTGGTAGAAAAAACCTGCAATTTTTTTCTTCTTGGTTTACAAAAACTGATTGTATTTTCTTGTCCCTTTGTCCCAATATCTTGATTTGACCCGGGTCCTCTGTCACATCAGGTGTACCCATGGGGTGGTTTCGAGGAGGATGAACCAGGAGAGCAGTACTTCCAGAATCTGCCTACCTCCTCCTCCTCCTCTACGGCCTCGCCAGCTGTGCCTGCCATCTCCAGCACGGGGGACACCAACCTCAGGCATCCTCCATGCAGCCTCGGCCCTCCGTCTCCGCCTTCCCCATCCCCGTCTCCGCATCTGAGCAACACCGATGCGCTGGGTGAGGATGACCGGAACATTCATGGAAATGAAAGAGAGAAAAACGTACAAACTCTCAAATAGGACATTTCAGGACGAACCTTTTGTCAGATGTGTTATTTTTAGAGGCTCTCATGGAAGAGTGGACAAAATAGCAAAAGTAACAATTCCACCGTAAATATCAGTTCATTTTTATTTCAATATCAACATAAAACACAATTCTTATTAAAAAAATATTCAGAACATCAATGAAACTATAAACTGCCTATTCCTAACTCAATGCACTCAGTCATTTGATGAGTGAATCTTTAGTAGTGCAGACAGAGTGTTTGCATAGCGCAACATGCCGATTAATCCAAGAGAAGTCAAAGTGACATACATTTCATGTGGAATCACGCTGCAAACTGTATGCTGACGTAATCCTGTAACACAAGGTAGTGCCACTTGTGTTAAAAATTAATTTCTAATCTGTGTTTCCTGTGACTTTCAGCTGCATATTATCCAGGAAAATGCATGGCCCACACCAGCTCCACTTACACCTTCACAACATGTCGGATCCTCCATCCAACGGACGAACAGACGCGCGTCACACCAAGGTAAGAGACAGCCGATGTCAATGTCACAGTGAATAATAAAGTTATGATCAAAAATTATTCACACCGCTGGCAGATTTTAAGTCATTTTCGTTCAACCAAAAAGTTTGTTTCTGATAGAAAATGGGATACGTATCTCTCCAAAGATAACACAGAATAAGAGCAAGCTGATTCTCCTTTCATTACTTTTGAAAAATATATTTATTGCTATCTTATTAATGAATGAAACAATTTTTATTGGGAATAACACACACTCTTCCTATAATACAATCTGTAGAGACTCACAGAAAAAAAGCTGAAAAATCTGATGTTTTTTGAACAGTAACAATATTTATTGTTGATCTGTTGCTTAGAGATGAGCACATTTTCTGGAAACCAAGTCCCACGAAGTTTTAAAATACATTTACCACCAGACAAAAAGGAACAACATTTAAATTTTTCAGAAAATTCAACAACTGCACAATTTTTGTTGAGCAGTTAGCAGCATAAGATAAATAATGTTTCAAAAGAGCAGAAGAAATCTTGTTTTTTGAACAATAACAATATTTGTTATTAATCTGTTGCTTAGAGATGAGCGCGTTTTCAGAAAACCAAGTCCCACGAAGTAAGCATCTCATTTTTACTTTTGCAAAATTTACCAATTGTAAATTTTTAAGTGTCTAAGCGGATTAGCAGTATTTCAAAAAAGATTATGTTTTAGAAACAATAAAATTACTTGTTATTAATTTGGTAAGAGATGAGCATTGTTTTTTATGGTAACGAACTTCCACGAAGTATGTCATATTTTTACTTTTGTGTTGAATGTCTGTTTTCAAATACATTAACCATCAAAGACAAAAAAAACATTTTCACTTTTCTGAAAAATTCAACAACTGCACAATTCTTGTTAAGTAGTTAGCAGCATAAGATAAATAGTGTTTCAAAAGAGCGGAAGAAATGTTTTGTTTTTTCAACAATAACAATATTTGTTGTTAATGTGTTGCTAAGAGATGAGCGCGTTTCATGGTAGCGAAGTCCCACGATGTAAACAGCTTTGCAAAATTTACCAATTGTGAATTTCTTTTGTCCAAGCAGATTAGCAGTATTTCAAAAGAGATTATGTTTTATAAAAAATAATATCACTTTTAATTAATTTGGTATTAAGAGATGAGCGTTTGTTTTATAGTAAACTTTCACGAAATATATCTTATTTTTACTTTTGTTTTGAATTTCTGTTTTATAATACATTTACCACCAAAGACAAAAAACCCTAAAAACATTTGAACTTTTCTGCAAAATTCAACAACTGCACAGTTCTTGCTAATTAGTCCGCAGCATAAGATAAATAGTCTTTCAAAACAGCAGAAGAAATGTTTTGTTTTTTCAACAATAACAATATTTGTTTTTAATCTGTTGCTAAGAGATGAACGCGTTTTCTGGTAACCAAAACGTCAGATTTTTAGTTTTGCAAAATTTACCAATTGTAAGTTTCTAGGTGTCTTAGCAGACAAGCAGTATTTCAAAATAGATTATGTTTTATGAACCGAATACTACTTATTAATAATTTGGTGTTAAGAGATTAGCGTTATTTTTATCGTAACGAACTTCTACGAAGTATGTCAGATTCTTACTTTTGTGTTGAATGTGTTTTATTCACCACAAATGACACAAAAAAAATCATTTTAAACCTTTCTGCAAAATTCACTAAGTGCACAATTCTTGTTAAGTTGTCAGCAGCATAAGATAAATAGTCTTTCAAAAGAGCAGAAAAAATCTTTTGTTTTTTTCAACAATAACAATATTTGCTGTGAATGTGTTGCTAAGAGATGAGCGTCTCCTGGTAACCAAGTCCCACGATGTAAACATCTTTTAGCTTTGCAAAATTTACCAACTGTAAACTTATTTTGTCTTAGCAGTTTTACTTTTGCAAAGATAGATTATGTTTTATTAAAAATAATTAATTTGGTTTTGAGAGATGTGCAATTTTTTTCTGGTACTACGAAGTATAAATCAGATTTTGACTTTTGTGTTGAATGTCTGTTCAATAATATATTCACCACCAATGACAAAAATGTTTATTTTTACCTTTCTCCAAAATTTACCAACTGCACAATTCTTGTTAAGTTGTCAGCAGCTTAAGATAAATAGTGTTTCAAAAAAGTAGAAGAAATCTTATGTTTTTTTTTTCAACAATAACAATATTTGTTTCCTGGTAACCAAGTCCCACAATGTAAACATCTGATTTTTACTTTTGCAATTTGCTATTGAGTACATTGTAGCTTCCTTTAGCATTGATACTGATTTTTAGCGCCAGAATGCTGGCTTCCAAACGATGGGCACCCTTTGGCAGGCCCCACTTCAATTTGATCAGAAATGTTCTATTTTGCACATAAAACTGCCAGGGGAAGGAATAATTTCAAACTGAACTACAGTTTTCCTTTTCTGCAAAAATGACCGTAAAGATCCACAATGGCTCCCAGGTCTTGTTCAAATGATGCATTTTATTTACTGACCTGACAGGTTAAATGCAGTTTAAACACATTCCCCGTCCAATTTCTGCTTCCTGTTATGAATAACCAACATTTAGTTGCTCAATAATGCATGTGAATGCTTCCTGTTTGCTGTTTTTGCTGTTTGGCAGCAGCTTGGGCTCTTAAATGCCAGTGAAGTCGCTGATTTTTTGGTGTTAAGTCGGTCTGTTGCTGTTGTTCCTGCCAGTCTGAACCCCGTCTCCACGTCGTCTTCCTGTGTGATGACCAGCAGCCTGTGGGGAACGCCCGCCGCCACGCCCTGCACGCCGCGCAGGCTCAGCCTCAGGCCCTCTGAATCATCCACCAACCTCAGGCAAGGCTGAAACTGTTTCAAATTAAACTGCGTCTTCTCTCAAAAAAAAGTGTGACAATTGTCTACTTGAAAAAATATTGTGGCAACAAAGTTAAAATTAATATGATTGAATAGATCTTAAGAACTTCTACTTTAAGTAAAAACTGTTGATTTAATTATATTTGTGTGGCGCGATTCCTGGTGCAGAAATGTGTGGTAAAATATGTTTAGTCATTTTGAATTGATAATATTTGTTCTGAAATAAGTAAAATGCAACTAATAAATAATTACAATTTTATATAATCAATATAAGAAACCAAACTACACGCAGTTATTTTTTAATGAACAGGCTGCCAGTAATTATTTTAAAATTATTAAAGTTACCGAGTGACACCTTTTTGCCCCACATTTTAACATGGCAGAGCAACACAAAGTCGTATGTAAATATAAAGTGGAAAGAAAGCCATACAAGCTTTTGACTTTTAATCATGGTAGGCGTTTCTATTTACTCCCTCTTTACTCTGATACCGCCAATAAAATCCAGTGAAAGCAATTGCTCCAGAACTCACCTGAAACACTTTAGAGTGCAGAACAAATCCATAAAACAAGAAAATCGTGTTTTCTTCTTGCCTAAAATGCACTTACACAACATTCCTTTAGTGAGCTCTTTGATGCATCTGCAGCTGAATAAAACACTTGTAACATCAACATGTGAAAAGTTCAAACCTTCTACTCAACTTGACATCAACTCAGTTTACAGTACAGTGTACAGCTAATTCATGTAGATATTTTTCAATTCACCAATTAATAATTTACAGGCAAAAAGTTCTTAATAGATTATTTTTTACAGAATTTGAATCGAGTGAAGCTAAACCAATGAATTTTGGGTAGAACAGATTTACAGACAAATTTGTTCATTTTCTAAAACGTACCTATCTTTTGTATAGTTTTGTCTTGGTTAGTACTCTCAGTGTTTTGTTCTTTCAGCAAATGGCCTTTTTTTGAGTGTGTGCCGTCGGTAACGATTAATCGATTACTGAATTTACTGACAATTATTTCAACAATTGCAGCCTGTCTGTACAAATGGGATTTTAGGTTTTAAAATAATAAATGGATCAAAGAAAAAACATTTTCTTTCCACTTTGTGTGACTGAAAATGTAAAATTCATTTAGGTATGCGGTTGTACCAACATAAAAAGATGAAAGCTTTTTCAAAGTATTTCACATGAATCTGTTTTGATTTAAGAATTAGTTATTATGTACAAAAACAAAAAAAAAAAAGAAAAGAGGACAGAAAGTTCAATATTTCTTGGTCGTGGTTTGATTCTTATCCGTGTAGAGATGGAACGCGCACCACCAGCACTTCCCTTGGGTTAGTGCGCCTCCTGCAGGAGCGGGGGATCTCAGCGGCCATGTATCACCAGAGCCAGGGCCTGGAGTACAGCCAAGGCACTGGAGGAGTTCTGTTCAGCACCTCCATCGCCCCCAACAGGGCATCCAACACCGAACACCTCCGACCCGCCACCCCTCCAAACTCCCCGACGAGGCCCGGTGCCTCGGCCGCCACGACCTCTGAAGGCTTCGACTTCAAGAGCCCGTCGTACGACAACTTTCTGGCGTCCAAGCCGGCGCGCTCCATCCTGAAGGAGGTGACGGGGACGAGAGGCCGGCAGAGAGCGAGGGACTGCGAGAGCCAAACGGACGTCAGCGTGGCCGTCCACAACCTCAACCTGTTGGACAAGGTGAAGCGGCTGGGCGTGGCCGGAGGCAGGGCAGCGAGCCCCAGTCCTCTGCTGGGGCCTCTGGGGGGGCTGCGCAGGTCTGGGTCCCCCTTTGGGCCGGATGGAATGAGAAGGAACAGGAGTTACCCGGCCATGGTTGGCGCCAGCATGGCCATGAAGGCCCCGGGGCCCCAGGAATAGTCCACACTGCTGCTGAGTGGGGAGAGCAGGAACCAGACCGGCTGCTGAGCGGTCGCCTGCAAGGTTTCAAGTATAAACAACAACAATCACTCTGCAGTTCTACTTGAATTTTATCCCTAGCACTAATTTAACAGCCAGCTGATGCCTGATATAAAGGGAATTAATTTAAAGAAATAAAAGTCTAGTTAATACAAACAATTCAACCATTCAGTGTAAAAGCAGTTTTACTTTTGTGTTCCTGAATTTAAAAAAATCTCTTTAATGACGTGCATGATATCAAATTTGATTTATGATTCTATTCCAGGAATCATCTGGAACATTTTGTCATTTGTTTTTTTCCTATGCAGTATTTGGCTTGTTCAGATTCTTGATGTGGGGTTTCTGATCAGAGGTTGCGACCTGTAAATGTCTTGCTTTCAGCAGGAAGTAGTTAATTTTCTTCCAGTTTTCTTAGTTAGCATCTTTTCAACCTGACAGAAGTCTAGACTGTTTGTCCTTCAGGTTTTTAACTATGTCCACAGCATCAGGAAAGAAGCAATATGGGTTTTGTTAGCTTGAGCGCTAACAAAACCCATATTATGTCAGCGCATAGATCGGAAATTTTAACACGATATGTCACAATGATGCACTACACACAGTAAAGTACACTGGATTTGGAGTTTGGTCCTCAAAAAAAAAAAAAAGAAAGATAAGAAATACAAAACGAACACCGATACTTCACTAAAAGGAGAACAGGAAATGATATGTTGGAGGGCAAACGATGGATCGATATGTTGAGGTTATGCAACAGCATCCTGAAATTTAACCTAGCTTTGCAGCAAATGTGGTAAGTTATTTTAGTTAATTCATAATTTGGGGACTTAAACTTTCATACACAGCCAGGTTGGTTTAGATAGCTTACCTCCCTTAACCACTGAAAAAAGCTAAAAATAGCTTTTTGTATTTAATTTGGTTTAAATCAATATTTGTTGGATGATATAAAAACCTGAAGCGGAACAACTGCAGGAAGCAAGCAATTTTCACATTAAAAGACTGTGGTTGTCCAGAGTCTATCATCACAACAGCATGTTGCGTTTACCCAGATTCACTTGCTCACTGCAAAGCTAATGACGTGTCCATAAAAACTGTGTCCTTGATTTTCACCATGTCTTACTTGTGAATCAGCTGGCTTATTTGGACGGATGTGTTTAGGTTTGTTGTTTTGTGTCTAACACGTGGGATCAATGTTACACACCACGTATCATGTGGCTCTTCTGTGTACATAACTAAAGACTTTTCTGTAAATAGCCTATGCCAAGATAAAGATCAGCTATTTTCAGCAGGGAAGATACTGACTGATCGAAACCCCTAAAGTAGCATTTATGCCAAAAACTTATGAAATGTTCCAGCTCTTATTTTTTGGTGAACTGCAGTGCAATACTCCTGTGCTTGACATCTGCATATTTTTAATTATCTTGGAGCTTCTCATTTCCACTGTGAGGCCTCAACCCTGACCTTTTGAAGCTAATCCAAAGTAAGCCCTGGTTTTCTCAAACAAAAAATAAATAAACAGCTTATAATGTATTATCTGCTCATTGCACTTTGTGTTTATGGTAAGGATTAGGCATTCTTGTTGGAGAGCAATTATTTCGGTACATGTATCAACAAGAAAAGGCCTCGGATTGTCACCGTTAGCACGTTAGCATGCTTATTTTAGGACACAGCTCACAGGAGCTAACTGCTTAATGCTTACAAAATGACTGAAAATATATTTTATGTAACTTTAGTTTATATAAGAAGGTCAAGCAACCCACCAGAACAAAATTATAGCCACATCCACACAACACCCCTGCTTTGGAGGCCGACGAGTCTGCTGGCTAGATGTAGCACTCCCACTCTGAAATACACAAAGTCCCACACGCATCCAGTCTCAGACAAGTGCACTCCCACTGTTTGGCTATCTCCAGCTACTGAGGCGCTACATTATGCCTTTCTTCCTCTTCCCCACTGTACTGAAATGCAGTTGTTGTTATTTTTTAAAATAAATGTCAAAATTTCATAAAATTTTGTCTCCTGAATCCAAGCAACGTTATCGCTCCACTTGAAGTGAACGGGTGAGAATCTCCCAAGGCATTTGGAATAGTTTATTGGGTCGATATCACTGCATTCTAAAAGATGCTTTTTCTTTGTTTAATTGACCATTAGACGGGGAATTTGACAGAACTTCCACTGAATTGGATGAATGAACGCACAGAAGCCACAGCTCACAAACAGGGCAGGGAGATGGACTTGGGGTAAGTGATTGTGGCGAGTTCATTCAGTCTGGTTGGAAGCTTTCGGGCATTTACCAGAAGATCTTTGTTAATACAAAGGAAGCAGTTAGACTTCTCTCTTTTTTTTATTTTTTGTATTATTTTGTGGGGTAAAAGTCACAGAATATTGTGCTGCAGTAAGTAGAGTTGACAGCTTACGACATGTATAATAATGTATACGTCTGCAAATCAGTTGTTAAAATTCTCATTCTGTATCATAAACATACATTTATTTATTTTTTTATCTTTGGTTAGTGCACATTCTGATACTGTATGTTAGAGTAGCTTTTGTTGTAAATACATTATTGCCATGCAGGAACATCAGGATGCAGAGAGAGAGACAGAGACAGAAACAGACCAGCAGGTGAGAGACAGTAACACACAACAGTATATTTTTAATTAAATGTTTGTGGCTGAAAATGACAGCAGAAAAATTTTTTGGGGGATATTTTGCCTCAGTCTCAACCTTTTTAGAGTCACGATTCATGATTCAGAGCCCCGACACACAATACCATCTATAAAATTAATAGCGCAACAAAAAATTCCATCTTTAACACTTAAATCCAATTTGCATAATAATTTATAAGACCAAAGTAAAGTGAGTCAACACAGAATCAAGTTTTTAAAAAATGATTTTGTTTTTAAGGAAAACAAACCTATTCAAACTAAACAGCTAATATCAGCTGGTTGTGTTGACTTTTTGACCCACTCTTTACAGAATTGTTTTAATTCAGGCACACTGGAAATAAGCTCTTGGTTAGACTTTGACTAGGCCCCCTGGAAAACTTTCGTTCTGGGTATTGTAGCTATTAAGAGATGGATTTGCTAGTGTGGTGCATATTGTGTCATTGAATTACACAATATGGAAAGAGTTCCCAATAAACATTGGCAAATAATACCAAAATGTTGTTTTTCTTTTTTTTTTTTTTAAATCTAACTGTTGTTGTTTTCCTTCCTGTATGAACCCATAACAAGGCCAAAGTTATCAAGGCAACCCTCCCAAAAATGAAATAACTGCTTCTCGTCCAGCAGATGGAGCTCAAAAATAACAACACAAAGCGATGATGAAGCACATTGTGCATCTGTCCTTCCGCATTTGATCAGTCATAACTCCGGACCCATTCACCATCTGTTTTCCTTCAGGAACGCAATAAGGGACTCTTTATTAAACCTCAGGCGGAACCAAAAAGGTGAATGAGAGGTGAGCAATAATCGAAAAATGCCACTTCGGCTGGCCGGGAGTCTTAATTGGATGAAATGAAAGCGTTTCAAATGGCAGGAGCGTCTTTTGTGGCATCATCTCTGAATGTCATTTTGACAGTCATTTATCTTCAGCCCATGTCCTCAACAGGACAAATGTGCAAGCGGGTTCAAACTCCGCCGAAGCGCTGCTCATGCCATGTCTTGTCACTGTCAAAAGTTTCCTAACTTTTCCAGAAGTTGAATAATAAAATGATGGCAGTTTAAAATGTGGGCAGAATTTAGCTGATTTTCGGTATTTTTATTATTTTTACAATTGGAAGATGATAATGGTAAGAAATGTGATTGCCTTGATTAGACTCATATTTAAATATGATTGATGTTCAGACTGGGGGTTAGCCAGGCCTGAATGGCCTGTTTAAGGTCCCGCCACAGCATCTCAATACAATTTAAAGTTAGACTTCATTCTAATAGATATAAAGTAGCCACCACTAGGTGCAATAGTCTTGATTTGGCCCAAATCTCCAATTCCTGTGTCACTATGCCTTTAAATGATTTTGGAAAGCCCAGGTAAAGATTACATAGCTTTGCAAGCTTCTGGTAGGTTAATCCGCAGCACTTGACGAAATTAGGGCCACATCTGGGTGACAACTTAAAATACATTGCTTCCTTGAGTGTTGTGTGTCCCAGAGATGAATGCACTTTGTTGGGAAACACATGGAAAGAATTACATTACTGTGATGTAATATTTTATATATTCAAAGTGGCTTGGAGTAATTGGCAACATTATCTTCAAATTTAGGCAAATTATTTTACTAAAAATAACTGTACGCCCTTCATCACAGTCCCTACCGTTTCTGCCTCTCTGCATCTTGGAACTCACATTTGATTCTGAAGTAGTTTGGCTATAGAAGCTTGGTAAATTTGATTGATCTAAATTTTAAAAAGGATCTTTATGGGAACAGAATTACATGCAGGATGTTCAGCCAGATTTGAGAATCATTTGGACCATCTGCCTGTCACCGGTGACCACGCTTAGAGCTCATCTTTTTTTCATTTCGGAAATGTGTGGTTTTACACATTAGCAACAAAACTGGAGCATTTATACACAGAGGGGCTTTATCATTCAATATCAATCCTGAAGAATTCTTGCACGTTTGCGTTTGTGACCTTTTGCAATCGATATCTTTGCAGAAACGCTCACACAAACAATGGAGACATTTACCAACGGTCCGGCTGAAGCCTTTTAAATCTTCGGTCAGCCTTTTACTCTTTTTTGCTTCTTAGATCTTTAAACACAAAGTTTGGGTCAATGCCCAGGGATCTCTATTAATCTTCTCTCTATATTTTTTCTTCAAATCTGTCCTCCCTCCAAGCCAGCAACTTTAATGCCTGACACACAAAAACATGGCAAACCGTCTTCTTCCCCTGGGGCACCTTCAAATCACCTCTCTGAATAATTCAGCCTGCTTGCTTTGTTCATCGATCCCCCTCTTCACGTCTCCCTCACACAAACACATCTTTCACTTAACACACATGCCAGGAAGAAACGTAATCTGCCCTGTTGATTAGATTTCATCTTCTCCTTACTAATTCCAACTACAGGCTGGAGTTGGCTTTGATTTTTGGATTTGGATCATTGCAAGAAAAGAAATTAATTCTAAAGATTTAAATCAGTTGCTCATGGGACTGATACACTAGTGCCAAAAGTATTTCAGGATCTGGGTTTAGTACAATGTTCATCAATCATCTATACCAGCTTATCCTGGCAGGGTGGCAGCAAAGGGTGCGGGGCAGTTATTGGGGGGGAGGCAGGGTACACTCTGGACAGGTTGCCAGTTAATCACAGGGCAACACAGATGACACACTGAGGGAAGCTCTGCTGATGCTGGAAGTTACTTCCAGTAATGGTAGCCAATTGAGATTTCTCCAGTGGTTTCCAAACAAACGTAGGTAGCAATTGTGGAAACTGATGCTGCAGAAAATGACTGTGGTAGGTATTCAGAGATCCAAAGATTTTAGAATGTGTGGCGTTCATATGGCTTGAACCAAATATAAATAGAGGCTTGAAGACATCACAAGGGTCAATCATCAGGTGAAGAATTGTGGTCCAATAGTTCGCTTTATTTCCAGCAGCATTCATGAGAAGATTCTAATCAACCTGATGGAAGTCTGCAGTTCAGTAGTCATTAAAATGCAACCAAAAACACTTACACTCCAGAAACATAACAGCTGCATTTCATTTGGCTTAATATTTTTTTAAGTCTTACCACAGACTTAGTTTAATTTAGATCTGTATACATTGAGATAAATTGCACAAATGTGAACTCTACATACTAATTATGTGACTTCTGAAGGCAGCTGGGGGAGAAAAATAAAATAAACGAGGATAAATAGAAATGTATTCCATACTGGTCATTTGTGAGGAAGATACCTCCTTCTGTACAAATATCCTTGGGTGTGGCTGTTCAGGGCCTTAGCTGCTTGTAAGGCCTCCAGTGGTAAATTGGCCTTAGGGGAAGAACCAAGTGAGTAATAATTTAAGACTTTAATGAATGGTAGACTATAGATTATGTTTACCCCCCTGCAGTCAGGGATGGGAGTTAGAACTCACTGGGGAGTGGTTGGTGGTCGAGGCTAGGCTCTGGGGTTTGCATAGGCTCTATTATCTGAGATGATATTGCAGTCAGGTGCAGCGGAAGCCTAGAAACAGATGAGAGCGATTACCCTGGTGTACTAATAATCATAATTGGACTCCAGGGACATGGAATGTAGTTCAGCTCCGAGCCGGTGTGTGTGAAGTTGAGCAATACTAGATTGATACAGTTGGTATTCCCTTTGCATACCTTTTGCTCTCTGGAATCCCAGAGACTGGTCTATCTCCTACTCCTGTGTTGCCCAGGGAGACACAAGTTGAGTGTGGAGATATTTTCAATCCCCTAGCAAAGCATCTTGATGTTTTCTGTTCTTATCCATCAAACAACTTTTCAGAGTACTCCTCAGTCTTGGAGTCTCTGGTCGCTGCCCTGGAAGGAGATTCCCTTGTGCACCTGGGGGACGTAGTGCCAATGTGGGCAGTGATGGGTTTTGTTTAAGGGGCTTATTGAGAGGAACATTCTCCTAGATCTGAATCCAGGAAGTGACTTGTTATTGGAGATCTATGCTAGGCATTAGAGGGCTAGAACAAAGTTCACAGTCACATACAAGGTAATTCCCAGAGTATGAACAGAGAACATGTGGCCAAAATTTTCAAGGAGAGAGTTACTCTCCTATTCCAGACGATAGTGGGGATGTGGAGTCCAAATGGGTTATGTCAAAGACGCTCCTTCCTTCTGCCCTGGATCTCTTCATGGGTGAAATCTCAAGATGTAGTCACAGATGAAGATGGAGTGAATGCAATAGAACTGAATACTTTCCCAAACCACTGTTGTACAATTCATAGACATTTTTGTTAGACGTTTGGACATTGTCTAACACCATTCATCTTTTGGATACTTTACAAGGGAACTATGCCTGCTAGACAAAATGTAGACGGACTGGTTAAAAGATAAAGCTTTCAACAATCAGCTTTGAATTGCTGAATTCCACAAACATTATGCAGAAAAGTTAAATGTTTTGTGATTAGACTTGTGTCGTGAAGAAGTTTTCCACAGTAATGGATAAACTGACCACCATATGTACCATTTGAGCACCAGATGTAGTCTGATCTGGTTTGTAATAATGCATCATTGTGAGTATTAGTTGGAAAACTTGTTGCTGTATTACTGTATATTTCTGAAGAAATCTTCTGCAAATGGGTATTTATAATCTTTATTCAGCCCAGTTAGTCTCAACAGACCCAAATCTTTTCACCCCAAATGATAAGGAAACCAGATGAACAAGAAAACAAACAGAAATCGCTCTCTGCAAAAAATTTGGCATACAGTATGAATATTGCGTTATTACAGTTTTACAAACAAATGTACAACAAATACATCATAAATAGGCTCTTGTTGGGTGACAGTGGGGAGCCAGCTTGGTGTGTTTCTTTTTTTTCCCCTTTCCATGGGGGAGAAGCTTCTTCCTCTTACGAGGCATACTCAAACTCTTCTGCACTGCGCCGGCCAAAATCCATCCATCCAATATAGTCTCTGTCCGCTATCCGATGCAGACCGCCACCTTTTTTCTGGGCCATGGAGTTTCTACGCACCGAACCTGAGGAAGAGATGGGAGCAGGGGAGAGATCGTGGGCGGAAGAGAGGAACAAAAGTCAAGTAAGTATTTCTGAGTACAGAGAGATCTTCTTGGAGTATAACTTTTATTTCACAGAGACCCTCTGACAGCTCTGACTCTGTACACATCTAAGAAGCAAGACACTACAGACGTTTACCCTCTCAAGCTGAATTATTCAAAAGATACTTTCACTGGTTTGGGTGTGATCAGGCTTTCAAGATGACAAACATCGAAACGTCAAATTCACTGCCTTCAAACGGAATTTAGCAGAAAGCTGAACCGGCAAACAAATCACAGATGTTTAACACAACTTAAGCGTTTACGCCTTTCAACAAGCTTCTGAGATCTAAAGATGTTTGGATTTGTTCTGCTCTCCTTTCTAGATTTGCATCTTAAACTTATTTGCTCTGTGAAAACCCAGACACAAATAGAAACCACATTCACACGTGCAATTTGGCCAAAAGAAAA